CTTGTGGACTATGTTGACGTGTGGACTTGTGGACTATGTTGACGTGTGGGCTTGTGGACTATGTTGACGTGTGGACTTGTGGACTATGTTGACGTGTGGACTTGTGGATTATGTTGACGTGTGGACTTGTGGACTATGTTGACGTGTGGGCTTGTGGACTATGTTGACGTGTGGACTTGTGGACTATGTTGACGTGTGGACTTGTGGATTATGTTGACGTGTGGACTTGTGGACTATGTTGACGTGTGGGCTTGTGGACTATGTTGATGTGTGAACTATGTTGACGTGTAGACATGTGGCCTTGTGGACTATGTTGACGTGTAGACTTGTGGACTATGTTGACGTGTGGACTTGTGGACTACGTTGACGTGTGGACTTGTGGACTATGTTGACGTGTAGACTTGTGGACTATGTTGACGTGTAGACATGTGGACTTGTGGACTATATTGACGTGTAGACTTGTGGACTATGTTGACGTGTAGACATGTGGACTTGTGGACTATGTTGACGTGTGTACTTGTGGACTATGTTGAAAAGTTTCTGAATCACTCGTCTTCTTTTACAGTAGATTTTTTATGTCTGAAATTCTAAATTCATCAAATTTAAAATAATCAGGGATGCTTAAAAATAATAATTTATCTTTGTCCCGCTCGTGGTTATATGATTACTTGCCAGTTTAAAAATAAAGACAGGAAAACCCCAAAATTTAAACTCTTCTAATTTCTCTAATGTCTTTCTCACAAGGCCCGGGAGATCAGCACGTGTATTTGCACAGGGCGGCAGTTGTTTTTTTTTGGGGGGGAGGAGAGCGTAATTGTGATTTCCTACAACGGCAGAAGACTGGGAATGGGTGGCACAGTTAGCATTTGCACAAGGCTACAAAACACCTCGCGCCACCTGTGCTTTCTGACTGACAACGTCTTTCTAGCATATTTATTGCACAAGATATGACACTTTTATTATCTTTAAAAAATATAAATCATGCTCATCTTGTCCCGGCCTACTTTAATAACAAACGTTCCGATACACAATTTAGCCGTGAATCTGAGAATGGCGTATCTCTGCCTTTCTTAGACGTGTTGATTACTAACTCAGACAAAAGTTTTGTTGTAAGCTCTCTTCTAAATTTTACGAAGTTTTCTACCTACTTATTTCAAATGTAACAGAGTATCAAGGTCTGTTTGATGTTTCATTCGTAAACTAACAAATATAAAACGTATCTAATTGAACATTCTATATACATCTTATTCAGATTAGTAACTCATTTGCTCAAAAACATGTCGCAAGAATCATTAACGAACATAACAATTATGTAAAAAAGCTACAAACTTTCTTTATCTTGCTGACCTCTCATCAAAACTGAGTAAAAATCTACAAACTGAACAAGATATAGCCACACAAACAGCCACAACTGAACAAGAGATAGCCACACAAACATTAACAACTGAACAATATCTCCAACAAATACAGCCACAACTAAACAATATCTCCACATATACAGCCACAACTGAACAAAAGATAGCCACACAGACAGCCACAACTGAACAAGATCTCCACACAAAAAGTCACAACTGAACAAGATATAGCCACACAAACATCCACAACTGAACAAGATATAGCCACACAAACAGCCACAACTGAACAAGAGATAGCCACACAAACATTAACAACTGAACAATATCTCCACACAAACAGCCACAACTGAACAAGATATAGCCACACAAACATCCACAACTGAACAAGATCTCCACACAAACAGCCACAACTGAACAAGATCTCCACATATACAGCCACAACTGAACAAGAGATAGCCACACAAACATCCACAACTGAACAAAATCTACACACAAACATCCACAACTGAACAAGATATAGCCACACAAACAGCCACAACTGAACAAGATCTCCACATATACAGCCACAACTGAACAAGATCTCCACACAAACAGCCACAACTGAACAAGATCTCCACACAAACAGCCACAACTGAACAAAAGATAGCCACACAAACAGCCACAACAGAACAAGAGATAGCCACACAAACAGCCACAACTGAACAATATCTCCAAATATACAGCCACAACTGAACACGAGATTACCACACAAACAGCCACAACTGAACACGAGATTACCACACAAACAGCCACAACTGAACAAGAGATTACCACACAAACAGCCACAACTGAACAAGATCTCCACACAAACAGCCACAACTGAACAATTTCTCCACATAATACAGCCACAATTGAACAAGAGATAGCCACACAAACAGCCACAACTGAACAAGATCTCCACACAAACAGCCACAAATGAACAAGATCTCCACACAAACAGCCACAACTGAACAAGATCTCCAAATATACAGCCACAACTGAACAATATCTCCACATATACAGCCACAATTGAACAAGAGATTACCACACAAACAGCCACAACTGAACAAGATCTCCACACAAACAGCCACAACTGAACAATATCTCCACATATACAGCCACAATTGAACAAGAGATAGCCACACAAACAGCCACAACTGAACAAAATCTCCACATAAATGTTTTTATCTCTGAACTAAAACATTTTCTGAATGAAACGAACAATGTGAAAGAATGTCTCATCTAACTGTAACGGACTTTACCTGAAGCTGGTCTTCTGTGATGACATTCGAAACAATAAGTTCACATTGTTTTTTCTATTTCTATGTTAAATTATTAAATTCTTATCCATGTAGTTTCAGGTAAATAAATAAGAACCTTGGATGTCATCAATTCGAACGTGTAATGAGTTCATCATATAAAAGCTAAAATTCTATATTTACAGGGGTTAACCATTTATATTTATATTTTACGCTAGAAAAGTTGTTATAATTTTTCTGTTACGTGCTGGATCTTTATATTTTTTCCCACGTGATTATACACTAAACTTACCTATAGTGTTCCACTCATTACCGCAGAATTCCCAGCCTAACTGACTAGTGAAAGAAGCAAACGTGAAGAAGAAGGTCCAAGCGATGATCATATTATAATATAAAGCAACTAGGAAGGTCAGCACCAGCATTGCGTAACCAAGACCTTTAATAAATATCGTTATTTGTACAAATACAGAATTTTCTAGAATAACAAAAAAATAGCCATCATGTATAGATTTAGAGTAGCTTTAAGAAAACGTAATTTGAAAATATGAATTCACTTTTTTTTTAAATATTGAAATAAAACAACAACCAAACATGTAAAACAAATTAATTTCATTTTCCTCTTTATAGCAGTAAAAATATTTAAATTAGGGGTGAGTGAGTCTATATTATAATGGTTTCGAATATATATATATAGGTAATAAATTGTTATGGTAATAAATGAGCGAATGTGTGTGTGTAGTATTTCCACAAACAGTGCTGGTCAACATTTGCTAAATCAAGGACGATATACTTTAGCTAAGCTGTTAGGCCAGCATTACTGTTACAACGTAGGCCCAATAAGGTGTTGTTTTAGGGACTGACTAAAATCCGCTTTTTTATTACTGTGCCGATACATAATAGGCTGATTTGGATTTTACATTAAAAAGTTATATTGCGCTCGATTCGTATACTATAAACAGGAACTAATACCAAAAAATTGATAAAGAACTACTATAAGTTATATCTTTTATGTTATAATTTAGATATTAAGTAGAGGGCGCATGATGTTAAGGTAGACGAGTTTAATAATGTAGGCCTAAAAGTTCTAAATATTTTGACATAAGATTTTCCAGTAAATTTGAGGAATCTATATACTACTAAAACTCTGAGATTGTTTGTTTGTGGGCTTGTCTGTAATTAAATACAGCAAAAACGGCGCACAATAGCGCCTTGTTTGTGATGAAATAAGAATAGAAACAGAATAAAACAAGTTTCGTTAAAATCGGGCCACGGGTTACCGAGTTAGCCCCGTTTTTCGGTCACTTTTATGAAAATTTCTAGATTACTTTAGGTACACTAGATGGCACCACATATCGGTTTATCTATCTCTCTATTCGTTTTCCACCTGATGAATCACTTTAAAATATCTTCTATACAACAATATATGCACAACAGAAATTAAATGATGAGATGAAAATGTGTTATAATGGCGCGTAGAAAGAACAACAATAAAATGGACCTACAATATTATTGATAATTTGCAAATAGTAACTATGGAGACGAGGTAATAAAATAAAAATCGAGTCGAGAACAACAACAAAACTTTATAAACCAAAGCATCTCGCAAGCATTGGCTATTATATTATTTCCCTTTCAATGTTCCCATCTTCATTAAAAGATGACAAAAACAAGATCTTGAAGAATCTATCTATATACTACTAAAACTCTGAGATTGTTTGTTTGTTTGCTTACTTTCTCAGTCAAAAAAATCATTCACGCTACCGTTCGCGCTCTTTACGAAACTTCATCGGGCCACGGGTTACCGAGTTAGCGCCGTTTTTCGGGTCACTTTTATGAAAATTTCTAGCATGAGAAATTTTACATCACACTACCTTTCGCACTAGTTACGAAACTTCTTTGTTCAAATCTATTTCCCTGTCAATGTTCCCATCTTCATTAAAAGGTGTAACATGACAAAAACAAGATCTTGAAGAATTTCTCAATAATGCGCCTTGGTTATGGTAGGTAAATCGAAGAAAAAATAAAGTGTAGGAGGTTTAAGAAGAAAGACCACAACATAATAAACTAATTCATCACAATACTTGAAACTCTAACTTCATTTTTTTGAAAAATGAAATGGTTTTTACTTTTACTCCCGATCAACAATCAAATATCTTTTCTTGAATTATGAATAACAAGAATAGATTGACATATTTAATCAAATTATTTCAAAATAAACCTTCAATTCGGTGCAAGATTGAAATTACCTTGAATTATTCATAACCTCTGAATAGTGGGTAACCCAACGGATCACGGGTTGTCTAGTCACATCTACTCCTGAAGACTTTAAGCCTATCAGCCTCCTTAGCTGTGTAGGAAAATTAATGGAAGAAATCATAGCCCAAAGACTCCTTTATTACCGTGAAACCAATAACTTCCTTACAAATAAACAAAACTCTTCTAGAAAAAAGCGAAAAACCCTTGATCATCTTACACGTCTCACTGAAGCAGTATACTGATCTTTTAATAATAACGACAAACCCTTGATCATCTTACACGTCTCACTGAAGCAGTATACTGATCTTTTAATAATAACGACAAACCCTTGATCATCTTACAAGTCTCACTGAAGCAGTATACAGATCTTTTAATAATAACGAAGCCACAATTACCGTTTTCCTAGACGTGCGTAAAACCTTTGACAGTGTTTGGCACAATGCCTTAAGATATCGATTAAACTCCATGAATATTAACTCAACAATAACAAGATGGATCTCACATTTTCTAACCATAAGTACAGCTACAGTAAAAATAAATAATACCATCTCAAAAACCTTTAATATCACAGCAGGA